TCCCGATGCTCTCAATGACATCAACGAATCTATTTCTTTTCTCACTAATGCAGCTTCAGACGTCCCGCAAAAAAAAAAAAAAAAATAATTGGCCAGCGCATCGACTGCTGGTGCGAAGACGCGTTTTTTGCACAGTTCTCCGCATGTTTTTATCGCTAGTGGCATTGTTTTTTTCGACACATGCTTCTAGCTAAAAGAATTGAGACTGACCAACACGTCCGTGAGAAAACATTCCCTTAAAATTTCAGCTTTCTAGCTTTTCTGGTTTCCAAGCTAGCAGCATATCAGCCAAAAACTTTTAGGGGCCCGTACTTGAGAACCAAGTTGGAAAGAGAGACCAGTTTGGGGATGGGTGCGTGCACGCAGATTAAGTCCCCAAAGTTTCAGCCTTACAGTTTCTGCAGGTCTCCAGATGAAAAATCGATACAGACGAACACACAGACACACGCACACACACGGAAACTCCTCGACAACATGCATTTTTGCATTGTATACATGCAAAAAACGCATAAAAATTAGCGTATATGACAGCAGCATCATCAGTGCAGAGCAAAATATACGCTGCTGGAATTCACATAAATCGTACATGTACTCCAATCGATTTATGAAGCACAAAGACCTGTAGTGTAGTGGATAGCACGTCGCGTCCGAATGTGAAAAGGAGTGGTTCGATTCCCTCTCGGTCCATAAAAATTTTCATCTGCGACAAAGCCATCGTGCCAAAAATGTTTCAACGTTACATCGTCGCAAAGCCTACGAAGAAAACTTCGGCAAAAAAAAAAACTCACCAATTCCGTGCGAATGATATAACATCGATGTTACTCCATCAAAACGAAAACCATCAAAGCCATATTCATCAATCCACCAACGAAGATTGGATAGCAAGAAACGTAATGTTTCAATTCTAAAAATTTTTCCTCACATGGAATATCAACTTGTAAGCAGCAGTAAGTCGTTTCTTCCATAAAAAATTGTTCTTAAAAGTAAGCATGAATTGACTTGAGCAATAAAAAAATGACAAAAACGATAATGGAGGACAACAAAATCATAGCTATTTGGAATTCTAATACCCCACTATTTCAACTTGGTTGTATTAAGCCTTTTTTTTTCAAATTCCAAGCTCCTGCTTACTGACTCTACTAGAACTCTACAAGTGTCTCATTAAGTGGGTTTATCTGTGATAGTTCCCTACCTCCCC